TCTCGTAATAGCGCCACTTCGAACGGAGTTGTAACGACCGTACTTAACAAAAGACGTTTGGTTGGTGTTAAACCTGAAGTTTATATTGAATTCTATTTTTGCCTGCCAGTTAGGGCTGATGAGAATATAGGTTTAGGATGAGAATAGGGTATATAACAGAATGCACCAGAGGGACGGTAGTTTTTTTATTATTTGTATTGATAACTCACTATAAAATTACCACGGCTGAGGGTAGAAATTTAAGGAATTAACATACTCCTCAGCTGATTATATTAGTATATAAGTATAAAGTTAGTTGAATTTTACTAAAGACCAGACAAAATGATATAGATAATGTTACTCAAAATGTGTTTCTTATCGTAATGTTGTTGCTCTACTTAGAAGAGCTCATCGACAAATTGCATCTTTTTTTTAACTTTTACCTCAAGTCCTTTAATAAGATTTCTTTTTTAAATACACTAGTCATAATATCTATCAGTTGGTCAACTCAGCTAAAGAAAGTTAAACTCAGATTAAAAACTTATCTTGACTAAGGGCCGGTTTTTCAATCCTCAGATAGACAGATTGCATTTATTCCACAGTTAGCGTAATTTAGGATTTTTCAATTTAAGCTATTATCTGAAGAATAAAGCTTCAATCTGAAGAATAATTTTATCAGTCAGTCATGGGTTCAGTTCCCACCCAGGATAAATAATGGTGTGATAAACACGATCATTTGTTTTAATCTGGGTGTAATTTGTCTATAATGTTAATGTATTTAACAGTGTTTAATTATGTTTATCAGCAGTCTGTTTACCATAGTACAGGCTCTGCCTAGTTTGGGATCAGACTGTATGTGACTGTAATTTTATATTATTTTATGATAAATCAGAAATAGATAGACTTAATAATTCTTTTTTAGATTTCACTTAACTGTTTTTAGCTTACGTCGTCGTTCTGATAGTGACGTCGAAATAAATTTAAAAATGATGAATTTCTTTATAATTCATTTCTAATTTTAAAGGTTTATTAAAACTGTTGACTATGATTTGTTCTTGAAATGTAGTTTGACGTTTCTTTACACGATCATAGTGAACAGAATAATATTGTAAGAAATTATTGCAATACAAATACCTTTCTAAATGTGTCAAACTAAAAGTTTTGTAAAAAAAATTGGTAGTTCTGTTAATTGAAATAAAAGTACGTAATCATGTTTTCAGCCACTCAGTTTATGTGTACCTGACAAGAGATTTGATCCGGTTAGTTAACTTTTGCACTGATCAGCCTTTTAGAAACCGAATGGTAAGTTTTACATTTTTAGCATACGTCATTTCATTTGACAGGACCAAATTAGTCTTAGGTCATCTTCATTCAAAAAATAGAGTTCATTTAAATAATAAAAAATAAAAATTATCTCATAATATTGAAAAAAAAGCATAACGGAACATAAAATAATTATTTTAGTCGCTGCGGTTTTCAATACAATGCGATACAGTCAGGTGGCCTACCGCATAAATGATAGCAATCATGTTTCCTGCACGATACTAATATTTAGGATTACATAGGTACCAGTTTTTAAACAGTGTCCTTAAAAAGGGGTCTATCGTTTGCGTAATGTTATTGTTATCTACACTTATAAACTGTCGTAAAAAATAAGTAAGTATTATTTTTACTAAAAATATTGTTTATTATGCTGAATGTTATTGTTGTCACTAATGTTGCGTCGTTTATTAAAAGTTACAAGTTTATTCCATAATTACAAAGATACCTAACCCATCATTCACCAAGTCATTAAAATACTTTCATAAGTAACACAATGTAAGTTATACTTTTCTAAGAATACCAAAGGGCAAAGATTGGGGTCCCAAAAAGGTTCACTATTTGTAGTATTTTCTACGAGAGCTCGATAAAAGTTTAAACAAACATACTCATAAAGATGCTCCACTTCGTTTATCAAGACCAAGATAGCCACGGTGTTGTTAAGTTCGGATCTAAATCAACACATTGGTCGTAGCGTCAACTAACAGATAGCAATATAGCCTACTGAGGTCGAGTCTCTACGATCGAGAGATAATACTTATGATAAAGAATACTTTTACGTTAAATGCATATTGAATCACCTTTTGTTTTAAAAGTTAAAGTTTTCGAAACCCTACGGCACAGGTCGCAAAAGTTTATCTACGTGTCAGACTTATGCTAATTAAGTATAAGAATCACAAAGATATCTGGGATGACCAATTTATTAGCTAAAGCACCTTTGAACACGAGTTTTTTTATTATTATTATTGGGCAATATAATAATTAAAAACCTTTAGATAGATATTTTAAGGTAAAACCAAATAAAGTACTATACGTATCTATTTATCTTGTCCTAATAGAACTGTTCTATTCATGTGGTTTACTTATAGTATCTGGAATCCTGAGATACATCATAAAGTTTCAAGGCAAAGTAACAACCAGAGTAATGCTACAATCTAAGAAGAGATACTAACAAATTGATATTTAAAAATCGTGAAGTAAGTAGTTGGTATTATGTATGTTAGTTTTATTAATATATACTGTTTTATGATATATTATTTCGTATTTAAGACACGAGCCTTGCAACTGCGTCATAAAGTAACCTAAAGTCACAAGTAAGTTTTACAAAAAAAAAAACGAAGACGACCTAAAAAGACCACCAATAATCATAGACGTCTTCATCATTATTATTATTTAAGAGTACTTAGCGGTACAAACAAAATTTATTTTCCATCACAAATCATGGGTTTCATTTTATTTCTTTATTTAAGCTGGACAAGCAATCTACGGTAACCCTTAGAATGGGCAAAATACAGAAATCTAAAATATTTTATGAAGTAGAACATATGTAGTTTATGAACTATCATATGATCTTCGCTTTTATACCATACTTGTTATGCGAATAGATTTGTATGGTTAGTGTTACAATCCTATTGGTTAATGTGTGATACACACGTTTTGTTATAGTGGCTTTAAGACAATTGGTTTTGCTGGCAGTTTTATAACTATACTGCTACGATTGATCAATAAGCCTCCGTCTAACGCGTCAATTGATTACTGATTTAAAACCATCACGCATTGGTCAAAATGGTTATGAATTACATTTTTATGAGCTCAATCAACATTTATTTAGTAGAATTCATGTAAAACTCAACCTCAAAACTACTAATCCGGTATAGCTAAATACACGATTTCTTAGATAAACATCGCACAGAGATATGAGCAAAGATCGCTTATATTGTATGTTAAATTACAGCATTTGCTACTATTTTACTAATATTTTTTTAGGATTACTTTAAAATATAGTTTTATATAGTATTAGCGATCCGCCCGGCTTAGCATGGGTGCAATGTTAATACTACTAACACTACTAATCTGGTGTCAGTATGGAGTAATTAATTATACTATTATTTTGATATGACTATACTACACATCTTTACATGCAATAATAGGCCTCTGAGATACTTTAAAAAATAATTACTCTTAGCTATAGTTTAACAGTAAGTCGTATCAAAAACGTTTTGATAACCGATATTCGCTATGGGTCTCTCACATGATTATATGGTTATTACCTACTACTTTTACATTATTATACTGTTGACAAATTATATCTCTCTTAGGGAAATGCTATTACAATATACACTTTCCTTAAAAGCCAGTTTTCATCTGTGAGAAAATTGGCTAAAATAACAATTTGTGGAACTTGGAATGTATTGAAAATAGATGTTGTTGTGTACGATTTGATTTCCTTTTTCCCTATTTACGACATAACGCAAAGAATTTAGTCTAAAGGATCTCTCAATCAAATTAATTTAAAAAAGGTTAATTGGATTCTAACCGTTATTATGTTTATATAACGTTGTTTTATACAGAATTCTATTACAAAACAAGCATAAAGGCTCCGGAAGTTGGTTTTGAACGTTAACAGTTAACCTATAACCACTCAATGTAGACAGAACGAACACAATTATCATGGACAAAACAATAAAACTTTATATAGTCGATCTAGGATATTATCTATTCTATATATAATTTAAAAATATTACGGTTTGTGTACGCTTCAAAAACACAAAAGTTTTGCACCGATTGAGCTCAAATTTTGACACGACATGGCTACTAACCGCTTCAAAGATGTTTTTTATAATTTTTGCATCAGCTTTGTTCCTCATTTATCATCAATGCTACCACAATATGCCACAGCAAAGCGTGGCAGGGTACCGATAATTGGTTTTATATTTGGTCCTTCCTAAGTTCACAACTTCAAATAAGAAACCTTACAGATGGTAACAGGATAATTTACCGATTACGCACTAAAGCTCTCTCTGTACCATCAATGCATGCCGCGGCATATATTAACGCGCGTGCATGTCTTTGTTAATACAAGATTGTGAATTTACAACAATTGATAATAACTATAGGGTTAATGTTTAATAGGAACACCGAGGATTTGTCAAGTATAACTATAGATATAAAATTTGTATATGAACGCTGTAAAATTTTATAGCTACCATTTACAATAGGTAATACTTTTCACTGTTCAATTTGTAGTCCGATTACGAAACAACGAAGATCATCTTATCTGAAAATATCATTATATGTGAAGAGCTGTTTCTTTTAAGAGACACAGTGGAAGCTGAACACGAATCTTGAGCACATATTTATAATTAATCCAGCTTTAGGCCGAGGCTTCGCTCGTTAAACTTATTTTTCTATTCCATTGGACAATACTTTTCGTTGAATAAATAAGACGTGAAAACGTTACAAACAAAAAAAGTCACATTTACATTTAACTCAAATGTACATATTTTATTAGGTAGGACACCATTTCATTATTTTCTCTAGTTAGGGCTTATTACTACTGTTTACTTTGGTAAATATAATATTTAAGCAATAACTTTAATTACAAATTGTAAAATAAATGAGATATAGCTGTTTTGTTTAAGATCATTATTGACAGTTATAACTATATTAACCTAGTAACTAATAAATAAAAAAATACATACCGAAGTCCTAATCCAGTTTTCTCCTTAAATAGGAGCGGTGTTGTGAAACCATTTTTCTGTAGGTATGATACAGTTAGATCCGTACCATGCATTTCCAAGACAGCACCAGAATGTTCAAACCGAGGGCTCTCCAGTTTGTCAGCAAGAGAAAACCCCCGTCCACCCTCTGCCTCATCGTCTCCCAAGGCCCACTCATCAGAATATAGCTTGCGTTGCTTGCGTTCACGCTGCACAGGAATATATATAAATTTTAATTATTTGTCGCACTCACCATATGCTCATGCAATCATGTCAAAAAGAAATCCTTTCATATTACCGCTGATCCCTATGCTTATGTTATTCATACATACATGACTTAGCATGACTTTTTTATAGTCTGATAGAATAATACTTTTAGAGTAATAATTGAAAACATGTTACCTAATGGCATACAATATGCATGTACAAGTGTATATAGGTATATGAATGTACATTCATTTGTTTTCAGATCTATAATAATTGAAAATCAAGGTGGCTGAGCTCTATATTTTTTATTTATTTTGATTCAAATTGTATAGGTAGTATTAACAATTATCTATAATTCTATGTGACGAAATAATGTAATTAGCTAATGTCTAATTTGGTCTGTAATGTGAATTAAATTAATAAGCAACTAAATGTTTGTGGTTAAAATCTTTTTTCATTTCTGTCATCTTTGTGTATCCTTAGAACACGTAATATTATAGTTTCTATAAAATGTGTCAAAATAGAGAATTTTAAAATCCCACAAGCTGAAATGACTTTCACTTTTTAACATCTTTCGTGGCATTTCAACTTTTTGTTCACGACTTTTCTGCGCTTTTTCTAATACAGTACAATATATTAATACATCTTTTACTCTCGTGATTTGCGAAGTAGGTTTTTTTTTCCTGCCAAGGCCAATAAAACAAAGTAAAAGAATTAAGTGTGTTTAAGTTGTAACAATAAAACTTTTGATGTCAATACTCTGTTTGCCTCCTCGGTTTGACAAAGCGGAGTTAGTTGCATGAACAACGTGTCGTATTTAAATCAATATGCAAGTGTTTTTATACTATCATCTGTCGTTCGGCGTGTAATTGTTCAACGGAAGATTAGTCAAGTAATAAAGTAGATTGCAAACGAGCAGCGAGTGGGCTCGGGCTTGACGTGCGGCCGCAACGCAGCGCGCACGCCCCTGGCCGCCTGCTCTCCGCCAGCCCGCGGGAGGGAAACGCCTTCGACACTCGTCCCTACCAGATGCCCACTATGCCTCGTGCACCGAGGACGTCGCTGACGCGCGCATTTCTTGTAGAGACGTAGATTATCATCGCCGCTACATCACAATGCTGCGTTTACAGAAACTATTATAGATCTTGAAACCTACTCGCATGCGCGAATGCATACGGCCGCCGCGTTTTAAACTCGGCCGCAGCGTGATCACAAAAAACGGAGTCCGATGACCCTCAATGACTATCTTTACACACATTATAAATAATCACAAAATATTCCTATCACTATCCTGTAACTTTCGTGAATCGATACACGATGCAGCGATGCACCATTTCATGTTTACGTGATCCCAGATAAAGCCACCATGGCGTCACCCGGGACTAAATACGTAAAAATCTAACAATAAACACTCACCAGTTGCCTTGGAACTTGTTTTTTGTTACTCGGCAGTGTTTCCGACATGTTTATGTTAGTCAGAAACACTGCACCACGAAATTTACACTATTTTACGTAAATATTTTACACGGAGCACGAGAAAAAGTAACGCAATCCACCATTTGCAATAGTCGACACTGCTGCCAACCTAGCGGCGAGCAATCACTCTGGTAAATGACTGGAGGTTGGTACTAAGTAAAATGCCCTATTGGTTTATTTATGTAATGTAATGGCGGGACTGTTTAAAACATCGTAAAACCATTAGGCAACATAAATTTAAAACGGAATGAAGTAAATTTATATGAACGATTTGTGCTATTTATTTCTTTTGTGAAACTAATTTTCGATACAAATATGCTTCAAATAGGAGTCGAAGTATTTGTGACGTTTCGTCATAAGTTTTACCTACTTTCTTAGATGTGTGACTTATTACTGATGTATGATACAATTTACCTATTATTATATAGATACAATGCAAATGAGATATATATTTAAATATATTACCAAAATAAACTTATTAAGTGCTTCAAACTCACTCGGAACGGAACACGAGTGCGGAGCGCACACACTGTTTAGAATGTTTCCGTTAGTAAATTTTCTAAAATCATCTTGCATTTTCAAAAGTAAAATGAAATTGTTAAAATATTCTTGTATTAGCGCTAATGCAGAAGTATATTGATAAAATTATTAAGTTAAGTTTTGGAGATTATGTACTCCTTTTGTGTGGTATATTATATTAGGTTTATTATGGTATTGTAGGTTATATAAGGTATATATATTATTGTAGAAGGCGTCCTTTTTCCTTCTTTTAAGACAAAAAACAAAATCTGTTATGTATGGCATATTATAACATGGTATAAGTGGAGTAATCTTTTATTAGTGGAAGTAGTAGGTGGTAATTATTTTGCTTATTAAATGTATAAATAATATATTTATCAGGTCATTGCAAAACATACAAGTAGATAGGACTCTATTTAACAGTTACACAAATTAAAGCCTAATTCCGGTTATAGATTCTGTGTACATACATTTCAATAGTGTTTTAATTTTAGACTCAATTACAGCCTTAGGCAAAATAAGAGTCTAGGTGCAAATTCGTTCTTTTTAATCTTTAAGTGCTTTGCGTTAATCCTTCTATAGAAATATAATTTATCGTTGAAATTTATAATATCAAATTCAATAATATTATAATCAGGGACGTGACATAATGACTAATATTTACCATCTAGCGTTTAATGACAGTAGACATTTTTCAAATATCGTCATCATTTTATTACGAGGCCTTATTTTCACCAAGAATCTTGCATACTTATTCGTATAGAGTTTTTTTTACAGACCTATTTCATTTCATCTTTAAACTATGTGAAATCTTTAATGTTCAAGTTATTTCTAAGCAAGGAACGACTGTCTATCTTAACTCTAACTTTCAGACTAAATAAAACCTACAAATAGTACAATTAGATTCAATTTTTGTCAAAAGATACTTGATTCGTTTATACAGTGACGATAAAAATAATAAATCAAGTTATACTATCTATTTATATAGATAGATACATAACCTCCAAAAATGACCGTGCTCCTTCCTAAAGGCCGGCAACGCGGTTGGGACTCCTGAGTTGCAGACGTTCATGGACGGCGATGGTCACTTTCCACCAGGTGACCCGTCTGCTCATCTGCCCCATGTAACATAAAAAAAAAACAAATTAAACCATACATGTATACTTAAAACTATAGAACCAATAGTTTAAAAAGCGGCGGTAGCCTAGTGGTTAAGGCATTGGACTTGCGATCAAGAGGTCGTGGGTTCGAATCCTGACCAGTACACTACCGACGTGAACCTACTCCTAACACAAGCAATTTAGCTTAGCTGGAGGGATTAACGGGAATACTAGTATAATTTTGGTTGCTAGTAAGCCTTTTAAAAAAAATAGTTACAGGTATAATAAAAAAAGAACATTTTTTTTATCTTCAGCTTAATATTCATTGTATTAGCTTGCACCATGCATGACAAATTATCATATTATTATAGGGGGCAAGTCATCAAAAAAATAAAATAAAGCCTTCATGTCCGAAATTTGCTTAAAAAAGATATCAAGATTTCTGTTCAAGTACTAAATGGTTTATATATACATATGTATTGGACAATATGGAATTATACAGCAAGTAATTAGCTTAATGAAAATCTGTCGCAAATAATCACAAAGCAACAATGGGTAAGTAGCTAAGTACTGCTTTATTGTAATTACCGTGAGTATCGTTATGTGTAAATTTTACCCACTAGTGCATTTTCACTAAGCCAATTAGTGATGTCCTATAATGTTAGCGATGTAACAAAAATTTTAATCGAATTGAGCCAAGTAAAACGTAAATTCAGCTAAAAATACAGAACTATACTGTACTGGTGCCGAAATATAATTTTTTAATATGAAGAAAAAACATATTTTATTCAGATTACTATAAAATCTAAATCTTATTATTGCGCATCAAAAATAATCTATTTAAAATAAATGCCACGTGTGCAGATGGTGTATCATAATAAATCCATTATTCTTCTCACTACTCGTCTTAAAGTTTAATTTTATTTGACTTATCGTATTGTGTTCTTAAGCAAATTACAAAGTGAAAATTAACTGTGGTACAGAGCATAATACATATGTTAATTTAGAAATAAAGTGCATATTAAACATTTTACTTAGTAATTTGTAAATATGCATTAACACATTGCCAGACATTTTATAAATAATACCTGATAATTAATTAATATCGGATTTAAATCAAAATACCTCGACTAGGGAAAAAATCCTCGCCACTTTGCATTCTCCTATTTTTTTACAATGGCAAGAGTAACTTTAAAATGTCATAAACATCTGCGACTTCATCCGCGTGGAAATAAACAAAACTCTTAAAAAACAATTGTAAAAAATACCGATTAATACTATGATTTTTAGGACTGTATAATTTTATTTAAAAAAAATCTATATTTTGAACGCATTTTCGAACCTTACAAATTTGAACAGTGTATTAATTTTAATACAGTGAACTTTTTCTGAGTGCATGAAATAATGGAGCGATGTAATTCAACGCCATTGCCATCTATGGGAGTGAAGTGTAAACTTTATACAATTTCCGTTTATTGAATATCAATCAATTGTAGGTTCACAGTATTGCGAAGTCAGCATTGTTACATTTGTATAGCGTTAGTGATTGAATTCAGTTTACTTACAGATCACGTCGTGAACCGTCGTGTCCGGCTCAATCTCTTAGTATTATGATACTCTCTTAGTATTATGATACCGAAATTTTAACCTAGTGTGTTTATTGAATTGTATTTAAAAAGGCAACTCGAAGTTTGGAATTCTAACATCCCGAACACTACTAAATTGCAGTTAGTACATTTAGCATGGACAACAACAAATAGGTGAACAATCTGTACTGATCGCGTAGTGGGTTCGATCCCCACATAGTACAACACTTTATGTGATCTACAAATTGTTGTTTTGAGTCTGGATGTTCTTTGTGTATGTTTAAATAAATGGTTGTAAAGTCACTAAGATATATTTCTAATGAGGGAGTTGTCTTTAGAAAGTAGTTTGTATTCAGGAAAAATCTTCTAATTCATGATAGTCGTTGAGTGGCTCGTAAAAAAATAAATAAATCTAATCTTTAAAAGTACTTTTTATTCAAGGACAGAATTTCCTGAGGAATTAGGTTCAGAAGTATTCCTTAATTGAAGTAGGTATATCAAGATCTTGTGTTATCTACAAAGTTTATTTTGAACCTACTATATATAATCTTTATCTTTGCCATACATAAATTCTACATCGGTTTTGTAAATTCATTTCATAGACGCTTAAAAATATTAAATGGCTATGATGGTTTATACATAAATTTAATTTGATGTCAGCGCCATCTGTTGAAGTACCCCGCAACTTTGAAGTAGTTCTTAGTTTATAACTAGTTGTTGCCTGTTATTGCTTGTGGCTTATTTCGTGTTTTAACTTTGAAATTGCTTCCATACAATTTCTAAAAATCCCTTCTTAGTGGGTGCTTACAACATATAAAGCATCAGCTGCCAAATTTTTATGTCCATTTGGATTGAGGGGACACTTTTCATAAATTAATGAAATTAATATTAATATATAGTAGTAAATTAAAAAAAGATTGTAGTCTCGATCCTCGATTTTGTATTAGGTATAATACTTTTGAAGTTATATAAAAAAAGGTGGCTCCTCAATCTAAATGTTTGGATTGAAGAGCCACATCAGAACGAGGAACATAATGGATGTGTATATATCATAATTTAGTATGATTTCATAGTATTTGAGAGTAGTTAGTAGGCAAAATCTGAGCTCAGTAATGTTAAAATTAAAAAAGTTACCATATATTATATATGTGGCTCCTCAGACCATACCAACGACTGTCATTACTCAAAGAAGCAGTCTTTCAATTGATGCGCAATTTCTTCATCATTTAGTAGTAATATTAAATTTGTGGTGTAAAGAGTTAGTAATTAAAAATGAGTGAATTGAGATGTGTAATAATGAGTGAGATATGGCACATTTTAACTGCCTCCTCAGTTAAGATGCTTCGGTAAATAGATTTGACTCTTATATACTTATAGGAGGACCTACTAAAACATCTAGATTTTGTATAAATTTATGCTAAATGTACGTCTAAGCCTATCATAAAAAAGGAGTGTCTACGAAGGTATTAACAATTTTTTAATTTCCTAAAAAAAATTTGTAGTTTATCTATGAATGACTTATATAAAAGGTATCTTTTCGTTCCGTTTCGCAAAAAATACAAATCATTTTTTTTCATCTAATTATTTGGGGGTAACTGCAAATAAATGTGGTTATCTACCTACCCTTAATAATATTTATTAGGTGTCTGTCGCTATACACTACGACAGAAGAGTCAGTACCAAAACACAGAACACTGACAAATATTTTTTGCAGACGTAGTAAATTATTACTCGATACAAAATACGGCAAAAATAGGTGGTAGCAGGTAGTATAATAATAGAT